TCAAGCCAAGCATCAAGCGATTGTTCCCGACCTGTCAGCATAGCCCAAGTGTATAATCGAATCACGGATATCTATTATCCGTCGGTAGTGGACAGAACGAGCCGTTGGAAACGAGACCTTCAGGTGTGGGAGAGTTGGTGCGTGATTTTGTCTTTGTTTTCTCACTTTTCTGATTCCGGCTATATCCAGCGATGATCTATATTTTATGAGCATCTATCAAACCATTTTCTGCTCTCCTAGGCCGTGATGGAGCGCCACAGAGATCTCAATGGAGCAATGAACCGCTTCATCGTCATCCAGCCAGCAGTGCACTTCACCTTTTTCAGCTCGTCCGCCCCGTTCCAGTGTACTTTGGTTCCTTGCTTTATGACCTATCCCACGAAAATATGACTAGACGTACGAGCGAACGTCTTCCTGACCAGTGACCAGATGAGATGGATTCGGTGACCGCCAGCCAGGAGGACTATAGATGGACACTACATCATGAAGAGCAGAATTGCTATCAAGTACTTACATGTCGACTACACAATTCAGTATGTGTTCAGTCCCATGGCTCAGTACGCGTTTTCAGCCCGCTCCTCGCATCTTTTTCTTAAAACCATCCTTCCAGCTCTACGATTTTTTCAGCCGAAAGGAGGTGGGAGCACCATTCGGATGCATATACAGGCTCAAGCTCGGCATTATTATTCGATGTGGTGTGTGACTTTGCTATCATTTTCTCTCGCTGTTCTTATTATAATAATTAGCTGAAACGTTTTAGAACCACAAATCTCTCAGTGACGATATGCAGCGCGCGCGATGAGGCCGGCATCTGTCCCAGTTCGACATCCCTTTATCAGCACTCAGGTTTTGCTTCACTGCCAGCGGACGCATTGGTGATCCATTGAAGAATGCAAGGACCAATTCCTTCCTTCGTGTGTCTATTATAGCACCGCCCGGAAAGAATGACTCAATGGATGCATTTCAGCCCGTGGGTTGAATGAGAACTTGGTGTGTTCTCTTTGACGCGCTCTTATCGCATTTCCTTATGAGAATTACTTTTGGATGGCTAGCTTATGGAGGGAGGCAGGGAGCAGAGAGAAACATAATAAGCCAACATCGAAGTCGCTGGTTTAGGTGGCATAGATGATACATTACGGTATGTGGCAAACGATCCGGATATGGCCATTCATGTTCATATTCTGAAGCACGCACACAGGTGCATTCATATTCATTCCAGGTTTACATAAAAGTATCATGCCCATCCTTTCTGTAATGCCGACGATGGTTGCGGCATCCTTGCTTCGGTGTGTCTTCTGTGGGCCTGGGGCGTACGCATGACCCAAGCGCAACGTGGAGCCCATTGGATGTATTCAAAGTCTAGCCACTGTCTGCTATGCTTTGGTCCCCGTGGAAATAGCACATTATCAAGAATGCCGCAAAGACTTTGACATTACTGTATCTTCTTTCTTACTAGATTTCTTCAGAGCCCCGCAAACATATGCAGCACGGCACTCCTTTTAGCTTGCTCGCCCCATCCGATATCCCTTTTCGGACACTCTGGTTTTTGCCTTAGGACCAGCGAACACTTTGTCCAAACCATTGAAGCATACAGAACGAAGCGAGGATCGACTGCTTTCCTTCCCCGATACCGCAGTCGCGCCTATGAAGAATCGATTTCAAGTTACTTTTCCCGCTAGACCAGAAAAATAACGTCGCTTTACTTCAATGGCGTGCGTTTCGGCCTGTAGGCTGGATGAGAGCTTAGGATGTCGTCTGTCTGCTCTTATTGCCTTCCTCATAAATTTACCTTTGATCAGTCCTTCCAAGATAAACTGTTGTATGCGATGAACGGACCAGATACCGCCGTTCATACTCATGGTGTTGTTTATCCGCAGTCGACGCATGTAATATCACCAGGTTCATGCCAGGGGCTCCTCTAGTCTTCCAAAACAAGTACTAAGCCCGTCGTCACGGGTCTTGTCTGCAAGACGAAAACTGGAGAAGAGTAAATGACTTATCTTTCACCTTCTATCCGCCTGAGCGGAGTTTTTGGGATGCGTGTATCTCAGGGAGCCTGACTTTGCTATTCCTTTATCTGGTTTTGCTCACGATATTAGGTGTGAAAAACCTCAACCAGTGTCGCTACCATATTCTACCTCTCGCTCCCTGGGTTCTGTCCGTTGGTGGCTGGGGGCCACGGAAACCTGTCTCGGTAATGAGCGCTCTGAGCCGTAAGGATTCATGGGAGGAAGTCGATGAGGTGATGGAAGGTTTTTTACTCACTGTTCCTCAGTCCAGGCCTCGGCACTTAATTCATTGTCCCTGTCGTGTTCTTAGAGGTTTGGCGATATATGACCGCAGTCACCAAAGGCGATCGCAACATCATGACATACGTATAAGTGTCTCTCTGTTATGGCACTGAGACGGGTGCGATTCTCGCGCCAATCATTGTCTTGACAACGTGGAAGCGGTAGCGCGCCATGACCATTGACCAATCAATGGCTTGCTCCGCAAGCGTTTACCCACGGCCTCAACACTGATTCATTGAACTGCCCATAACCTGGCCTCATTCGTAGCATGACCGAAAGCTATGTAATTTTGACTGCAAGACAATTTTCATATCTTAGCCCGGCGACATCCTGTCGATAGGCAGACGAACCGCGAGTGTCGCTTGTCCATCGAGAGACGGCTGCAATACTACATTAGTCAGTGACATAGCCTTCGGATACACCCTCTTATTCAAAAAAATCATACACGCTCACACGCCCACAAAGCCTGATGCAGGGATAGGGTTCAGTACTATTTCTCGGGCTGTTTGGAATCGGCTTGAAGTGGTGCTGTGGGTGGTTGACACAACGGCATGTGCAAACTTGCGAGGTGAAAATTCTGCTTTGCAGCACATTCCGGCTACTTGTTGCATAGTACTCTATTATACATCGCACGCGATCCGATGTACTTCGTAGCTGCAGTTGATGACATAACAGGTACGAGACTGTAAGGCCCCGATAACCCTAGGGGCTTCTTTGGGGCTGTGCTATGCTTCCTCCTGTTGACCTCGGGAAAAGGATCGCCATCGGATCGTCCGCGGGGAAGCAGGGAGACAGGGCATGTCATTTTTTCGCTCGGTTGTTCATAGTGGTCTCTTCGGAGCTTGTGGCGATACTGATTGTTTTCCCCTTCAGTATATTGTTAACGTTATATTATGGTGACGAAAAGGATCGCGGCACAGCGATGGGGGAAATTGCGAGCTCTCTCTTTTTTTCAGTCGACGAATTGTCTCGCTATTAATGTATTCGCAGGGTCAATTGAAGCGCCTTCTGGTAATTTCATGGTATTAATACAGTGACCACAAGAACTGGGTTGGAGTCCCGATCGGAAGAATGAGAATAAGTTGTCGATTGCGATTGCGTTCATTGGGAGGGTATATGTTGGACAGTCCCCCTTTGGTTATCCTGAGACTCGGTCGTTTTTCGTGATACTAGAATTCAGCCTCCTTCTACGAACCAAATTTGGGCTTTATTTATGTATCCTTAAATTTGTACTCCCGTTCCAGTGGGCAATGGGCATGTATTCCGTCCGAATTATGAATTTAGTATGCACCGCATTCCGAGAGTGACACAGTCTAACTAAACAGAACAAGCCCCTATCATGAGTTTTGTGACTGATTCTGCCATGTTGTTAAACTTCAGCTCACTGAGGTACCATGTTGCCACATTCATCCTTTGCTGTGGTTGTTCACGTATTCGAGAACATGTGTTGACGAATGCGCCAAGTGGAAGTAATGTTGCCCAGGACTCGGATTAGAAGCCAAACGATAAAGGGCGCACCGTACAAACTGCGCTTCTTTTTTCACCACCTCGATATTGATAACTGGTTCTGGTCTCTGGGTAAGACCGGAGGTCCTGGGAGCACATAGCGTGCGAGTTCAATTCCCAGTGAATGAAAAGCCATGTGACTTGGCAAACTTTTGCACATATATCCAATCGGTTGCTGAAGCGCTGATCAGTGAAGCCACAGCACATGGCAAGCTTGTGTTGGGGCGTTGGACTTGGCTATTCTAACGTAACGGGACCTTGTGCCGGTAACCAACACCAACACCGATCAAGAAGGGAATGGGCATTGGATGCGGTACAGAGGCCATCATGAATGATCGTAGGCGTTTTCAAGTCTGCACCCGAAAATTATAATTTTGGTCGTTTTTGTCGGAATTGGCCTCAGGAGTCAGGCCTGTCACTAAAAATCCGGCGTCGGGACTGCCGATCCCTGCTGTACAGTGTATCCTGCCGTGGTGGCCTGCGCCTTGGCGGGGGTCTTCAAAAGGTCGAACAGCCCAGAAAGTCTGGCATTCGTCTCGTGCAAATAATTGCCACCCAGCTAAAATTAATCGTTGAGCATACGGGTTCTGACCTTCTTGAAGTTCTTCCGGTGAAGTTCCACTGCAAACAATTCGAATCCAGACGCGATCTACCGGACTCGGACTCCTCAGACGCTATTCTATCGAACGACCGGTCTGAAATAGTAGCTTTGTTGCTTGGCATTACGATCCTCACTCTGCTTTGATTTTTGTTTACCGTTGGCTTTTTTCCTAGCTGTTCCTTGCGGATATCTACTCTTTTCCTACCAGAGATGGATTTCTACATGATAAACGATTCAGTTTCTATGATTGTAATAATCAATAAGGTCTTCTTCAATTCCTTCTAACTATTCCCTACTTTTATGATAATTCGGTGGATACTAGGGATATCCATTTTCCTTATCATATACACGGCTGTCATATGAGAGGAGGCGGACGTAAGGCAGGCAAGTTTTAAGTTCAAAACGACATGTTTCGTTGGTTGGGCTCATTACATACTAAGAGAATAGGTATCTGTGATAGGGACGGTATGCATCTAGAATTAGAACCCTTCTGCCACATTCAAAAATATCCTCCTGTTCTGATACCAGTTTGGACTTGACGAGGCCGGTCATTGAGGCATCTCACTGCACTACTTCATTTTCTTAACAAATCCACTGACAGCATGCCATTCAACACTTTCGAACGCCCTCGAGTCCTTTGCATGTACTTCCAAGGCGATAGGTATGTTTTCTTTGTAATATATTATTTATGCACCAGTCCTCATAGCGGTGTTTACAGGGAACCATCTGGGTTTGCATTTTATTCGTCTATGCCTCTCCATTTCGACTAAATCTCTCTCTAGTGGTCTCTCAAACTCCACCTCAGAGTACGTGAGCTCTTTAACTGACAGAAAAGCTAGATGATGTATAACGCATTACAGATGCACCTCTCATGGAAGACAAACCAACACAAGCCAAGGTTCTGCGACGAACGGAGGGGGGACAACTCAACAGCCTCAGAGTGGAGGACAGTCTCAAGGTTCTGGGGGAAACGGAGGGAGCGGAAGCAAGTAAAGGTTACTCGTAGGACTGAGCAGGCATCAGCAATATAGCAACCTGAGATTCCGCCTCCATCTCTTCAGTTTGCATCGTTGGCATCTTGATCTTGACAAGTACGCGGTGATAACAGAGAAAGATGGCATCTTTCTCAATGACTCGAATAATCTCAAAGCCCTCTGATGTTTCCGTGAATATCTTACTATCAGAGTGCTCTACAAAGCAGGGAACGGCGGCGACGTAAGAGAGACCCCAGCAAGCTCCCACCAAGGTGAGTCAGGCAATATCACAGATTTCGTGGTTAGGATATGTTAACGAGGACAAGCCTTTCGATGGGCCGGACGAGTAAATTTTGCCTTGGCGTCGTTTTAGGCATTATCATGGGAACATTTTACGTTGTCCATCTTTCAAAGTTGCTGGTGCCTTGATCGAATCCTTTATCACCGTCTTCTCATTGCATTGCTCCCGATGACAGGGGAAAGTGTGTATCATTTTATACCAAAAGCTAATACATACATTCTATGATTTCTCCGCCAATCTTGTGGTCCCAAGATCCGGGGGTTATCTGTCGGCATAAGCCCTCACTGAAATGTGACTACATGACCGGCAAGCGATGTTCGACTTCCCAGCGACTCCCTCCTAACGCACCATGATATCACGGCATCAGCGAATCGAACAAAAATATATACGGCCGTATAAGCCCGTGGCAAGGCTCGAAATGCATGGCAATGTCCGAAATAATTGCACCAGCCTTATATGCCCATATGAAGCGTGGAAAAATGATAATTCTACACATATCCTTATGAGCATTTCCGATATCAGTAATGCATGTCAGGCTTCGAAAGGTATTAGTACAATTACTTGATGCCATGGGCAAATATAACCCGAGCACCATCTTAAAGCGGGCCCGTAGCAGCTAGTAGTTTGTGGGTGGCTGGGGGCATGTATAATTTGTAGTTTCACTCTTTGAGACTTGGAGAGACTTGAAATAGTATATTTATTATTACGGTGAACATAATACAACACTACGGTTTACACAAGTGACCTCAAATTTATACTGTATGATCTCCCTCCTGCTCCTCCCTCTTCGCTGCCAATCGCTTCCCAGAGTTACTGTTAGGAGGGGACCTAGATAGTTCAATCTTTTCAGCCTTGAAAACATCACTAGGAAAAAGAATGTCACCTCAAATTGTTGGCATCGGACCTGCTCATCCTCGGCACTCCGGACACTATTAAAGAGCGACATCACATGGGGAAGGGCACAACTCATCGGCTTGAATAACCCCCTAAGATGTTATGGAGCGAATCCCAAGGAGAGAACCATTATCAAACTCACCAATGCTTGACTTGAGTGCCCTTCAACACGACCACTTCCTCCTCCAACTCTGCAATACGTCTCTTCAAAAGACCACTAGTTGAACTTGATGCATTGATAGATGAGAGGATCCAAGCAGGCTGGAAATCTGCGATTCTTGGAGAGATGGTGGCTTTGCTTGAGAGCTGCGACTTCGGACTGTATTTATATTGAAAGAAATTATGTTGGAGTTCCGAGCTCAGAAGAAGACATCCATGTCGGAGAAGAATAGGCCTAGAGGAGATAGGTCTTGTAGATCTGGCTCTGGCCCGATAGGCCTCCACGACGAGAAGGAAAATGAGTAAGTAGCGGTGAGTTAAAACTCAGAACGAACTGCGAGCTATCACGTGGTACATCTGAACACAACAACACGATCGCAAGATCTCCGACTCAGAATCAACTAATTGGGCATCGTTTTTCATGCCATGCACCCCATCTCACTTCTCATAATTTTCTTAGTGTCTGATGTTCTTTTTCCTTTCTCCCGTCTCCTGCTGATTCTGGCTGAACAGTGAAAATTCAGTAGAGCATCCGAAGGATCGTGACTTTCAATTCACAAGAACTGCTGTGAAGCCAATATTCGACTACAGGGTTAAATAAAGCTAGGCCATCCTCCACACACAAAATGGGAAACAATGGACCAGACGATGAAGACCATGATGGCAAGAGGCTCCCCATAGAAGGTGCTGATTCTGCAGTGGATCTGTAGAGTCAAATGACCTCGAGCTCGACATCAATGATATGGGGTTTGCTGACCTGTAATACATTTATGTCATCGTTTTAGACACCTAGGAATTAAATTCAATTCTTACTACCATTTTTCAATCAGTCTTGAACCAGTCTGTGCAAGCCCAGCTACATTTTATTGTGCTTATGGTAGTGATACATGAGCTGAAAATAATTCTATGCAATCTCAAAGAGCAAGTAATTATTACGTGGGTTTATAATAGCCTATGAAAAGGGTGCAACATTACGCCTTGGTTATATGGGCTTGTGAGGCCTTGACGAGGCGGATAAGAATTCCGCCGGACCGTGGTCGCTGCAACCCCCAGCAATTTTCTTCCCAATCTGCTGATGGGGTGCAAGAGAGGGAGAGAAGGGAGAAAGACCACAGGCCGGCATCCAAACGAAGACGATTCGGATTCGGGTGGCATGGATGATACACTAGAGTATGTGGCGAACGATCTAGGTACCTCAATTCATACTCATATCCCGTAGCGCATGCAGTCTTTGGAGAATCGCACACTCCATCATGACGACTCGTCACGAGAGGAGGATGGGAATTTAGATGACGTGTCAGTATTGTGCTGAATCATGTGGTGCGTGCAACTGCTGTTTTCAAGTTTTTCCGAAGCTTACGTCCATGACAAATGAAGCGCTGGGTCCAGTTCCTCGTCCAAGATGAAACCCAGTCAGAAGCGATCTCTGTCAGCATATCTCAACCATATACTTGAGTCACTGATATCTACTATCCGGAAACGGATCCGGTGTTGCAACTGCAGCCTATTTACACATGTAATTTTGCAATCTAGAGTGTTTTACATGCATACTGAGAGATAGTGAGCAAGCAGACTAAAACTACGCGTCGACACTAATGCTACGCGGTGCAATGACATGGAATATAACTTATGGCATAAGAAGCAACGGGATTCTAAACAGGACTTAGTCACAGCACTGTACCTGACAGGCATGCATGATGAGAAGGCCAAACCCTATACCCAATGCCTTAGGCTCTAACTTACAAGCACACTCGCGGGAGCTAGATAAAACCTTGAAGATTGCACTGACACTGAGAACACTTAGCGCGCTCGCTAACTGTGACGCGCCGTACCTGAAAATCCGGGGAAATCCTTAAGCGAGCTGACAGATATCACTGGCACGAGCTTGGGCAATGGGCTTTGGCTGAAGTCCGCGAGCCCGCATTCCATTGTTCTGAGTCCCATTGTTCAAAGACTCACTTGTTGCCGTGTCTACGAGAAGCCTCTGTGAATCCAAGAAAGAAGTCCTGAACAACACATGCCAGAACTGATAGTTCCGTGTGCCTAGACCTGTCGGTTGCTAGAGAACAAGCCCGCGGGTGTCGGGAGAGCACCTCTTGGCACACGTTTAGCGAGCTCACTATAGAAATGAGACTAAAACTGGGAAGTCCGACTCGGATGCTCAGTAAGGCGGCGGTGGCAACATGCTACGCATGTAGGAGTCTGGGTACTATGCAACATTTGTAATTCTAATTCCCCTGTAGTATAAGTAGGCTGGTTACAGTAGGTAGAGGCCAAGTTTCGAGCCCCTGAGTTCCCATGCACGCGTTGAAGGCAGTACTGTAACAAAGGATCAGTTTGTGACTTCGAGCTGTGCATAGAATTAGCAAGCTCACTCAGAGAAATACGAGATACCCTTTTGATAAGACTTTTGAGAACTTAGTCAGAGTGAATACAAATCAGTGACGCTGTTTCTGTTCTGTTGAGTGTGATAAGTCTGTTCGGAGAATGTTTTGAAGTGGAAATCTGAGATCTGTCCTGTTCTGTTCTGTTCTGTTCTGTTCTGTTTCAGTCTGTTCCGTGTCAGTTCTGTCGAAGTTCCGTTTCTGAATCTGTTTTCCGAGCGCTTCTGAAGTGTTCTTGAGTCGAGATAACCTGCTGGAGTTAGTTGGAGAACCTCTACATACAGTTGTGTAGCGAGCGGGCTAAGTCAGTGCTTGCCTGTGGTGTTCTTTTAGCGAGCTCACTAAAGTTTCGGTGTGTATTACCTCTGTTTCTGTTGGGATCAGTGTCCCTTGTGTATTATAACTCAAATCTGCCTTGAAGGTCACGTTGCGCCAGTGAACGACCTTCCTGTAAAAAGTTCCTAGACTTAGGAAGTCATTAGAGAAAGCTTAGCTTCGCTAAGAGCACTGAGAATAAGAGAAACTCTTCGAGATATTGAAGTATAGTTGGATCGCATTAGAAATAATCGCTCCTCCTAGAACTTACGAGGGTGATTGTAGTTTGTGTAGTTGTGTGAGTGTGTGTGTGGGTTTTTGAGGTTCACCCCTTTAGCCCGCTCACTATTCCACAGGTGCCCACAGCCAGCCTCTTCACCAGTAGAGGACTCGGAGATGTCCAGTGTTAGTGATGGCGTACCATGGTAATCTCAACGATCCTATGAACCGCTTCATCGTCATCTATCCAGCAGCATGCAGCACTTATGCAGCTCGTCTTTCTCGCTTGGCATCCTTTTCTAGGGTTAGGGTTGACTCGACGGCATGGACCAGAGCTCAGGGTAGATTTTCTTCTGCCTGCTCTTATTTACCTTTCGTCATGAAATCACCTATGATCGGCCTTGCGGCTAGCTTATGCTGAGTAGGAGGGAGGGAAGGAGTGGAAGATGGCAAGCCATTGTCCAAGCGAAGACGATCCGGGTGGCATAGATGATACACTATGATATATAACAAAAGACCCGGATATCACAATTCATGCTCATATCCTGTGTGTAAGCCACTAACTCTATCGACTTAGATGTGTTAGGGTCGCTACTCGCACTTCGGTAGGCGACGATCCAACAGATCAAAGGCAACGAAAGTCGATGGGACAGATAGTCACGAAGAACGGAGTTCAAGTTAGGTAGAATAAACCTTAGCCGAAGCTGGGGTTTAGACCAGCTGAGGCTCTACTTAAATACACGTTGC